TTTCTTCAGCCTACAAGGTAAAGAGTCAAGTTGTTAAAGATATTTTTAAGTCTTAATGTTTATGATCACTCAGCCAACACACACACACATGTATATATATATAGAGCGAGAGAGAGAGTATAATGTTCACAGTGACTAATAATGAGGCGCAACTGAGCACCTCCAAAACCAGGTTTATTTTACGATGCCATGTTAGTGTGTCTCTGAAGACATATGAGGTGGACCTTCTAAAAATAACACCTGCATTTAACCTACATTCATGACAATACAAGTCAGCAGCTTCAACAAAACACACATCGAATTCAACACACAAAATATAATGATGAGAAACACTCACAGGGATCTGGTGCAGAGGAACATCCACTTGTCCGAGGAAGTCATCTCTCGTCTGCAGAAAATCAAGAAAACAGAAAACGCACATCAGAGAATCAGTCACAGAAACAACTGGACATAACACATACAAAATGAACTAAACACATTAACACTGAGCTTGTCTGACATCAGTCTCAATCAGACATACACTGATACTAAATTTCTCCTCCGATACCGATAGCCGATTATTCAGAATGATATCTGCCGATACGGATACTGTTTAGATTTCTTAAGAAGAAAAAAAACCTCTCCCAACTAATGCTGTAAACTATACAGGAGCCCTATCATTTGGCACATAATATAGAGTAGTATAGCATACAATTTTTTCTTCTTCTTAGAAATAAAAATAAAAAAGAGTGTCAAAACGGCATTTATAATGTGAATTTTGAAATAAAATGTACAGGTTTTGAAAGCTTATCAGAAGTAGCAAAGCACAAATGTCTTCGCGATTATTGGATGAGAGGTGTGTTAAAAATAATGTTAGGTGAAGGGAAAACCGTGGATCTGGCAACCCTGGCTTGAACTACAGCTAACTAAAGGCGCTGCGTTAATGCGTTATTATTGCTTTAATTTGGACAGCCCTAAAGTCAACACAAGAAACATGTTCTTCACACAAGATACTGTCTGACATGTTTTTCCATCCCCTTTTGATTAACAGGACATAATCAGCCCTGATCATCCGCTGTTTTTAAACAATCGGACGATTATTGGCCGATAAATCGGTGCCGATCTCAATGTGTTTATCTGCTCACAGCATTCAGGATTCTGAAACTATCGCTCTTCTTACATCTTTTGACTTTGGTCAGTATGTAAACATAGCAACCACCCAGAACACCCTAGAACTGGGGTGGGCGATATTTATCATCTATGATAATATCAAAAGTGTTGTTGTAATGACGTGCGAGCTGACATCGATCGAGTGTATCACTTACTTTGCAAAAAACAAACAAAAACACGTCTTGAGAGTCGAAAAGCATTGACTGCATGACGAAGCCTGTTAGTTAAAATGCCTCAATAATTCAAGTTATGAAAGCAAAAAATATCTCTGTAAAGGCTTTTGTTCTTTATATTCATAAGATATGATTTAGTTAAGTAACATCACACATGCAAGCATGCCACTTTCCTGAATGTTAGCGCGGGCGCCATCACAAATGAGATTTCAATTTTATACAACAGTTAAAAAAACAAGCAGTTAATATTAAGCGAGTTACATTTCAGTCAAAATATTGTCTGCTTTTGTTCTGTTTCGCCAACGAAAATAGTTCCAATCAAAGCCGGATCAGAGCATTTTGCATGTCTCAGAGTAACACTGCAGCGTTTCGTTCCTGAATGAATCTGTTTTCGAACGAACCATTTGAGTCAATGATTCAACAATCCATTCATAAAGATTCCACTTGCACATTTCTAAATGAATCAGCAGTTTTAAACGAATCGTTTGAATGAATGATTCAATGAATCACTAATTTAAAACAGGGACCTGCCGCCACCTACTGGTGGTTTTAGTGTCATATTTATTTATCCATGACAGGCCTAAACCAGTCAAGGTACCAGCATAAAAATACACAAAATATCATTTAATTATCGTTAACAAAAAATCCCATCAAAAAACAAAAATATTTTTTTCAATATCGCACACCCCTACAAAAACACCCTAATATGAACACACAGAGAAATCCTCTCTGCTTTTGATCTGCTTCATATCAAAACAGACCATCATAACACACACACACAGACACAGACACAGGCTGTTCATCTACTGCACATCACTGGAAGTGAATTCTAACACTTGAATCAGACATAAAACAGTGTGTTATGAGTCTGAACAGTGCGCTCATTGTTTACAGAGATATAAATACATGTGTTATATATAAACAAGGTTTAATAAAGGTAGACTTCCCCGTGGTCTATCCGTCAGACTGTGAGCGAGTGAGCTGCACAAATAGAGAGAAGGTAAAAGTAGGCTGACAGAGAGAGAGAGAAAACAAAGGGAACGAGAAAGAGAGAGAGTGTGTTTTCGGAACAAAATCATTCCCATCCACAAACCTTTTCCAGCTGCTGCTATTCATTTCAACGGCTGGCTTCCATGAAGCATTTTAAATACATTTTATACCAGGTTTTATACACACACTGTCATTACGCTAACCGAAACAATATGACAAGTTAAATACACGTCACCTAAATGAGGCGTAAATGCCTTCGGTGTTCAGAACACTGTCAGATGTTTTGTTGTATGGTAGTGAGGGCAGAACGAAATAACGACAGCTAAAACGTGTCCACCTACATGCAATTTATGACTTACTTGCAAATGACTTACTCGCTATCAAAGGGTCGTTCAGGTTTTTACAGCGCTCATAAAGCTGTGATGATGACTATAACACATATCTTCCCTCGTTCTTAAGACCAGCCTCACATATTCCTGTTTGTGCTGTATTCGGGTCAAACCACAGAGCGGTTCTGCCACTTCGCCAGGTCCCAGATGAGATGACAGACCCAATGAAATAAAAGCATGTTGGGAGAAAGCTCTGTTAGTGTCATCTTAGTTATTAAGCCAGATACGACAAAAGGTACTGCAAGATTACAGTGTTTTATAAAGACTATTATATAGTTTAAATATTAAATAGTTTTTTAAAGGGATCATATGATGTTGCTAAAAAGAACATTATGTTGTGTATTTGGTGTAATGCAATGTGTTTATGCGGTTTAAGGTTAAAAAAACACATTATTTTCCATATAATGTACATTATTGTTTCTCCTCTATGCCCCGCCTTTCTCAAACGCTTTAATTTTTACAAAGCTCATCGGTCTGAAAAAGCGAGGTGGCTCTGATTGGCAAGCTATCTAGTGCGTTGTGATTGGCCAAATACCTCAAGCATGTGACAGAAATGTTACGCCCCTACCATACTGTGATG